TTTGCTGCTGATATTGATTTTAATAGAGATGATGCAGCCTCCGAAAATATATTAATTGCCAAGAATCTATAATAAATTTAGTAAGTTTGGCATGTGTATGGCTTCTGTGTGGTAACTCAAAGCCAGATAATAGAGCAATGCTTAGGAAAATGAAATAAGGTTAATAATAATGTTTTCTAATCTAAACCTTATCTGGATAAACCAAACTTTGGAACTTTATTGAAGAGAGTTTATATATAGAATTGAAAGTCCTGTAAGCAAATCTACTAATAATTCTGAATAAAGGCGGTCTCCTTTCAAAGTTGAAGCAGACTTGGAGTGCCTGGGCGGCTCAATCACTTAAGCATCTAACTCTTGATTTTGGCTCAGATCATGATCTCACAGCTTCTGAGATTAAGAGCTGCTTTGGTCTCTATGTGACAGTGTGAAGCCTGCTTAGGATTCTCTCTCTCCTTCTCTCTATCTCAAAATAAATAAACTTAAAAAAAGTAAGGTTGAAGCAGACTCATTTTGGGGTTAAATAGGGAACCAGGGACCTTCTAGCTCAATCCATGCATTTGTCCACACCAGCTTAGAAACATGTCATGTGTCGTTAATTACTATTAACAAAGCATAGAAGGAGGCAAGTGAGTTACTTATATTTCAATAAATTAGAGCTGACTCATAATCATTCTCACTAACCTGAAAGTCTAAATTGCTTTCGTAAGATGAGAAAAGTGGTGGAATTATAGTCAACTCTAGGAACTACACTCAAACCTTCTTTGCTGGAAGTTTGTCCCTCTGTGAACTTCATCTGTTGGTTCACAACCCTCGTTGGAGGTTCCTAGATATAATTTGAAACTGTACTCAGAGCACAGGGAGAGACTCATGAAAGAGACAGGCCACTCCAGCTTGGTAGGTGGCAGTTTTAATAATAGCAAAGGGAACTGACATTCAGGCTTGGGTGGCAGCAAGATGAATAAATCCCTGCACCTGCCCACCAAATCTCAAAAGTTTATGAAGAGGCCCTATCTGGGCTCAGTCACATTTACTATGCAGGTGCTTTTGACACCACATCACTATCTCAAGGCAATGTCCTTGAGTGGATAGCCTCCAGAAGTGGAAAAGGCAAGCAGAACCCACATTCCAAGAATAAGGAAAGGGGTGAGAAGCCTGAAAGTGCCTAGGCCCAGCTCAGTGAGCAATGGGGGTGCAGGACAGGTC